AGGAGGAGAAGGAGGAGGAGGAGGAGGAGGGGGACCACACACACAGGGGGCTGAAAGAGCATCTCCTGGTGCGGGTGGGAGCCAGGATGTGTCCCACCAGGGAGGATTACGCTGCCCTGAAGGGCAAAGCAGAGGAGCTGGGGTTTGCTTTGCCCGTTTGCGCCTGTGGCACGAGAAGTCAGGTTGGAAAAAGCAACCAAAAGGCTCAGGCATGGCCGGCAGGTCCCATGTGAGGGATGGGTATGAAGTTGGGGTGCAGGGAAGGAGACGGCAGCTCCTGCCTCGCTCCCTGCCGCTGCCCCCGCTCCCACCCCCTCCCCGGCGCTTGCATCGCACTGGCAGGAGAAACAAAAGAAGCATCTCCAGGGAGTGTGTTTGGCAAATGCCAGGTTTTATTAGACAGGCTGATGTTCAAGCTGACAGTGTCATCCCAATGAACATGATCACGGGCATCTACATGGGCCTGTGTCCCAGCTCCCTCCCTCCTGCAGTGCCCTTGGGTGAGGTGCTCACCCCCTGGGGCCGCAGGCGCGGGAGCTTGGGGATTTTTGGCAAAAGGAAAAGATCTCCCTGCTCCCCATTTCCACTCCCAGATTTCCAGAGCTCTTAGAAGAAAGCTCGGAGAGAGCTGGGCTGGAGACTGCAGTCCTCTTGGGACTGACAGCCACTTGGATCCACGGGAGAGAAAACATCTCAAGTGTCAGTGTCTCCCCGAGCCAGCACAGAGCTGAGTCAGCGTGTGTCACGGGGAGCAGAAAACAGCCCCTGACCACCACTGCCACCGGTTTGGAGAGACAACCCTAACGTATATCGGGAGTGGGGACAGGTTTTGGCTGTCACAGAGGAGCCCTGCCCAGGACGTGGGCACCAGGGCTTTGCACAGGGCGTGCGGGTGCTGAAGGGAAGAGAAAAGGAGGAGAGGAGGCAACGAGTGCTGGAGAACAAAGCCAAAGAACAGGAAAACAGAAGGGATGGGGATGACGATGGGAGCAGAGCGATGGTGACTTTGGCTTCAAGGCTGTGAGGGAGCACTGGAGCTCCTTCCTGGGCTGGGGGGCCTTTCCCTGGGTACCCCAGAGCCCACTGGCTTTGGGGGGACAGGGCAGCAAGGAAAGAGGTGGCACGATTCGGCGCTTGCGAATAGAAACGTTTGCTGGCCTTTGCTTGCTGTGACAGTGACACGCAGTGTGACAGTGACACGCAGTGTGACAGCAGGAGCAGTGACAATATTAGCCCGTTTCTGTCGGTGTTTCTATTCCATTAGCTCTTGAGAAAACCATGCAGACTGGCCCAGCAGAGGAGAGGGAGAGGTGAGGAGGAGCGGGAGAGACAGAGGGACGCTGACAGCAACAGGATCATGTACAAGAAAGAAGAAGGAGCAGCAGTGGAGCAGGGCAGCAGCTCCAGGGCAGGTCTGAGACCTCACGGCACTGACTCACGAGCACGTCACTTCTCTGCAGGCTGTCCTGGCTGCTGCTTTCTCTGACACTCTGCTTGACTTCCCTCAGACCTCCAGTCCCCTCTGCACTGCGGGCAAAACCCCTCTGCACAAACCATGCCCCTTCCCATGCTTGGACATAGTTTGGGGTTTCATCTTCATTAGTTCAAACGTAGAATCCTACCTCGAAGCAGAGGCAAGAAGCATGGAAGTCTCTGGGGCAACATGCCCCCAAACTCACCTGGACTTGAGGGGACCTCTTTGCAGTGCCTGGCCTCAGTGCCAGGGGGACGTGGAGCTCCCATGGACCTTCTGCCTTAGCTCACGTCCTGTCGGGCACATCAAGACGAGGGCACTGTCCTTCACACCCTTCCCATCACAACAGAGCCTTTGATTCCCAACTTTCTCTTTCCTTCTTTCATTCCTTTTGCCTTTTTCTTGTCTCAGCCGTCACCTCCACATCTTGTTCCTGGCAAAGGTAAGTCCTCCTCTTCCAGAGATTTCCTGGAGAGCTGCACTAGCTGTGGTCGTTTGGCAGGAGGAAGGAGAAAGGATATTCAGCAGGTCATTGGTGGACTCAAAGGTGCCAGTCTCCATCCAGGGCAACGTCCACCTCTTGGCTGGTTTGTGCTCAGCCGTGCTGGCCATGAGGGCCAAGTGATGAGGCCACCCCTAATCCCCTGGCTTTCACTGACAGGTTTCAAGTTTGGCTGTCCATGGAGAACCTCACCCTGCTTGGCTGCCTCCAAAGCTGTACTTCTTCTCTTAGGACTGAGCACCAATGCACAGAGATGAGCCAACAAATGCCTAAAATGGGGGGAGTTTGGTGAATAAGCCACAGAAGCCTTACTGGATTGTCCCAGGGAGAACAGATCAGCAGATGGGCAAAAGAGACGTGGCTAGTGACCCCCCATTCCTGTCTCCCTCCACTGAGCACACGACCATGGGGGTCTGAATGAGAAAACAGCAACACGGACTTGAACAAGGTCAAACTGCCAAACCCTCAACCCTCAGAGCCCTGCTGGGCTTGGCTTGCCAGCACGGGCTTCTGAGGTTAATGGCACATGGAGGCATGAAGTGTCCTGTCCCTGTGCTGACCCAGGGGGAGGGAAACCTGCTCATGGTTCCTTGCAGGACCTTCTGATTTGGGGTGCTGACCCTCCTCCTCCAGCAGAGCTCAGCCAGTGCTGGCAGCTCCTTTCTAGCCCACTTCTTCCTCTGACATGGACTTGCAAATCCCATCATGGCTACCTGTCTGGAGACACAAATGCCCCTGCAAAAGCCCCTTCTTCAGGTGAACACCCTGGTGAAGGCTGCAGAAGTTCAACTCTCAGCTGTTAAGTGAAAGGAGAACTTCACCAGGCAACCTGAAAGTCTTGGAAAGAAAAACAAGATCAATATTTGCAGAGATTTGTGGGATGTTTGTGTCTGAAAACACCAGCTGGGACCTGGCCTCTCTTTCCTTGCCCAGCGCTTTGCCCCGGGGCTCCCGGTGATGCCCTGGGTTGGTGTGTCACCACTCTCCCCTGCGCTCTCATGCTGTGCCCTCGTTCTCACTCCCTGCTGGCTTTGGGGATGCAGAGGCTGAAATTCCTGTTCATGCACTCTTGGCACCAGTGAAAAAGCAGCTACAGTTCTAGCTCACCGTGCATTGCTCATACTTACAGCTCAAACATTGCCTTCTACTCGAAAGAACAAAGATAAAATGTCAGGAATTCACAGTTTTTATTCTCTTTCTTATGCCCACCCATCTTCCCCTGCCATCGGTGTCAATGACTCAAAGTCCTCATCGTACAGTAGCCTTTTGCCAGTGCGGCACTCAAAGGGTTAACAAACCACGGCTTCTTGGACAGATAAGACATAAGCTCATTCATCGGTAGGAACACGTGGACGAACCGTTCTGTAACGTATCACAGAACCTTAGGGCCTCCTGTAGCGATTCTTTGGGGTTTCGCCGCAGCCGGTGATGTCGCAGGAGAGAACGTTGGGCTTCTTCCCCAAGCCGATGCTTCCCAAGAGATCGGGAAGCTCACGAGTGATGGCCTTCTCGATCTTCTCTAGGAAACACCCTCCCATGTAAGAACACTGCTGAGACAGCAGCTTAAAACTGGTGATGGGGTTGATGCCAAAGAAGTCCTTGTAAGCTTCACGGTTGGGGAGGTCAAATTTGCTGACATTGGTCTTTGCCAGAATGGACTTAAAGATAAAGAACTTGTCAGGATCTTCCACAATGTCCCTGAACACCAGTTCTCCATCGCTAAAGAAGGTCATTTTGTCCTTGTAGGTCTGTAGATAGCGATCGACCAAAAGGGCGTGGATGCGCACCCGGATGGCATGCTGGCGTATGAAGGCGATCTTATTTTCCATCCTGTTCTCAATCACCTGGTTGAGATCTTCCAGGAGTGATATCTCTTCTTTGAGGAACAGGTCTTTGTGGGTGTCCGGCTGGTACTCGTGGGGCCAGAAGGAGCTAACATATACCCTGGGTGGCTCCGTGACGTTGATGAGAGGAGCCAAGCTCCAAAATAAGGCACCGTAGACTCTCATGAGCTCCTGGGTAGCCAGGCTGTCAGCTTTGTTCAAGATAATTCGGATCTGAGACTCGCGGCCCTTCAGCTGGCGAAACAGCATCTCCAGCTCCAAGCCCACGTCCAGCTTCGTAGGGTCGAAGACAACGAAGATGAGATCAGCTCTGTCAATGAACCACTGGCACACATCGTTGAATGGGTAACCTTGAGGAGAGGAAAGAGAGAGATCCAACAGAAATGGCCAGCACAGGATGAGTCCCTCCAGGTCCAGGGACAGATAAAGCTGGATGCTGCCACGCCTCACACGCTCTCTGGGTTGGACGGGGTGTGAGACACAGCGGGCTTCCCATGCAGCCCAGAACCTGTTTCTCATGAGCTAAAAACACTTGAGAGTTTCTTGGCATGAAAACCCATCCCTGTGTGTCTGGGCCTGTGACTGCGTGTCTCCCTCAACCTCGCCTCCAAACCTTCTTTCTCCCTGCTGCTGGCCACAGATCCCTGCTGCTCCTGTGAGCAGATATTGGCCACATCATGGCTTTCCCCAGTGGCTGCCAAGTGGGTGAAGAAAGCAAAGCCTGGCTCCAAGGACGACAAATGGTGTATTAGATGCTGAGCCGAGTCAGACAATCAACAGCCCAGGGAGTCCCCAGGAAACACCTTGTTGAAACACCTGACTGTCACACCTCCAAAGAGCAGAAGCAGCTGCTCTGGCCGATGACAGTCGGGTATGTTCCCCAGTTGCTGTTGCCACAGCCATGGGCAGACAAAGGTGGCCATCCCCTCCAATGCAAGACCCCTTTTTTACCCTAAGGCTCTTCCCCTCTGTGCTTCAGCCACCTTTGTAATCTCACATCCTTACGACATCTTTTCTGGTGTCCCTTAGATGAACCCAGTAAACCCCTACCTCGTTCTTGCTGCTTGCGGTTTTCGATGATGCCCGGCGTGTCCACGAAGGTGACTCGCTCCAGCAGTTTGTGGGGCACCTCGATCCCTATCAGCTTCTCCAAGAAGTTCTGCCCAAACTTCTCCAGGGGTGAGAAGGAGCGGGAGCTGTCAGCAGCCATCACAATGCCCTCGATGGTCTTCAGCTTGGGGCCGTGCATGATGACAGTGAATTCAGAGGTGGTGGGTTCTGCCCCTGCACAGCAACAAGAGGAGCAGCAGAGCTGTGAAATCCATGCCGGGCAATGGACATGACAGGCCTGGCCTGGGATTAGCTGGGGAGCCAAGAGGTGCTGGGGGAAGGCAAGAAGCAGGGCCATGAAATTCTTGCCAAACCTCTTGAGAAAATGCCAGCAGGACCATCTTCTGTGGGGACTGGTCATTCTGGAGGTGGCCTGACTGCACAAGGTGCGCTGGAGAACCACCTCCCAGGAGCCCTCAGTACCCCACCGCAGAGCTGGCCATGGACATCTGCCCTCAGCTGCAAGATGACATCCATGGGAGCAGGGAGGAGGGAAGGGGAATGGGTTTTCTCCTGGGAGGGTGAATTAATTGGCTCCATGTGAGGTGGGAAGGGGAGAAGACAATGGCAAGTTGCCCTTGTGATGTGACCACTGCTTTCGTGGTCAGGGTTGGAGGCGGTGAGCTCTGTGCTGTGGGATGGGGATGCTATGGGGTGAGATGCCCTCCTCCTCCCCAGGGAGGGTGGACAGGATCTGGAACATGGTGAGGAACCTCTCCCTCCATGTGACACCATAGCTGGGTGGCACGGCCCGGATCACAACCTCCTGCCATAACAGGGCGGGGACAGAAGGGACAGAAGGGACATGGCCAGAGATCGCTGACTGCGCGGACGCAGGAACGCAGGTGCCAGCGCAGCCTCGGCAGGGCAGGGGGGGAGCGGGGAGCCTGGTACCTGTGTAGAGCTGGTAGGGAGTGTTGTCCAGCCCGAGGAGGTAGTTTATCATGGAGGATTTGCCAACGCTCCACGGTCCCAGGAATAGCACCATCGGCTTGGAAGTGATCTCCCCATCTGCGGAGAGGGGAAATAACAAGAGGAAGTGAAGAAACAATAGACACCGCCGCCGCGCGATTAACTCCCGGCTGTAACGAGCATCCCATCTGAGCGGCGTGGCAGCTCAGCCACCCCTTTGGGGCCACCAGCCATTCATGAGCCAAGGCATCTCCCAGCGACAGGCCCCGGTGTCTGCGGGAGCAGGACGTCACCATGCTCTGCAGGAGACCCCACCTCGCTG